GGCCACGGAACTCTGCACTCTGGCATTGTTGTCTTGGATAGATAACTTTTGCTCCTATCTCACCTTGAGCAGTCTCTATTCATCAACATTATCTAATTGAACAGACATCATAATACTGCTAATAGAATCATTGCATAGAATATGTATAAAGTAAGCTTGTATCAGCCTGTACATTTTTTTACTTAAGTTACAAATAGCAATAAAGCCACAAGCCACCATTAACATATGTCACAAGCTCCTTGAGGCCAAGGACTGTGTTGTAGCTTTTTCACAGATACATCTCCAATGACTAAGGACCTTAAAATAGTTCATAACTATGGAATAACTTGGAGAATACTGAATCTTTCATACAATCTCTATGGCTTGGCACTTTTGGATGCTAAAGTATTATTTAAAATACTCATTCCTTGAAATAAAAATATTTTATCTGGGATGAGATAAGCCTATTCATTCATCATAGTTTTTCCCACATTGGGCTGAGCATGGGAGTTAATTAAGGGAGGTTTTCTTTTTTAATACAGAGTTTCTGTACTATTGATCCAGTATTTATAGGAATTGCCCCTGGGAATCGGCATTTAACAAGTGCCCCAGTGATTATTATGATCTAGTGACTTTAGAAAATGAAGCTTTATCAAACTGGTTCACAGTAAAAAGCCAAGTGAAGGACTCTGAAGGAAAGAGAAAAATTCAGAGCCTGAAGAGCTGCTGAGGTGTTAAAGACCTGGTTGAATCTTGACAATAGAGCAGAAATCAACAGCCAGAACAGAACTATTGATGTACAAGCAAGAGTGATGCAATTACAGATCACTACTGCCCTGGACCAACTTGTTAATTTCTATACACATTGTCATGCGGAAGGTTTATGCACTTCTTCTAATCCCACAAATGTGTTTCTCAGCATTTCTACCTTAATTCACTCATTTAAGCTTATATCACCTGTAGTGCTTAGTTTGCTGCTTTTTATAGTCTAGGTGCTCATAAATGGTCAACTGTTGACCGTTTGACCAATGATCAAAATCTGCTCAAATGCGTATAAATCTCAGAATACACACCACCTCAGAGCCACAGTATGACTCTAGAAGAATAACCACTATGCCTTCCATTCTGGAAGCTTCATCTGTTTCTGTTTACTATTGCTCAGATCTGTTCTAAACATTAGAGTTTTGTCCAGCTTCCCAATGATAGTCATAGCCATCCAGATAGAATCATACGTGTCCTCTTCTTGTCAACATTTATTTCTCTAAAGAAGTATTGCTTCCCTAACTACAATTTCAAAGCAAGATATCCTTGTAATAATCTTGCTTTGTACACAATTTTCCAGAAAATGAAATAGCAGTGCAGATTTGCTTATGATAACTCTGCAAAGAGTTGCACATCTGTACCCTTCCACCACAGGCTTTAGGCATAAAAGGCTTTATAAGGATTCTGACATAGCAAGAGAACACCAGCTATTGCTCTAATGACTAAAGGTAACTCCTTGACAAACCTCTATTAATTCATCACTGCTCCAGATTTCTGTAATTTATAGGATGGCCACTCAGCATCTGAAGACAATCTTACCTGAGAAAGTCAAAATAATACAGCAATAATTACATCAGACTAATGCAGAATTTAGGCATTCCAGGACAGATGGTTTCAGAGTAAAATGTCTAGTAAGGGAGGGAGGCAATTTGACCATGATCTGATTTTACCTCACTGAGTTTTCTGTGAGTGGTTTTCTACCTTATTGTTCTTAATGCTAATGGGGTCACCTTCCTCTCATTTGTCAGAATCGCATGAAATGGAATGAGAAGATTTTCGCCTGTTTATTTGTTGATTGGTTATATCAACCTTTCTCACTAATAGGCTATCTCAAACTACAGCTGGCTGCATTTGATAATATAATCAGCAGTATGTTCCTGCCTGAAAATTGGAGAATGAACTCGATGACTTGCCATGGTCCCCTGTCTGGTATGGGAGCTTTGACAAATGCTAGGCTGCTCTATGTTTGCATTTCAAAACAAGGAAGGAAAATGGTGTTTATCGAAAAGAATTACTTAGTAGGAGTATACAGTTATGTTACTCTGGGATAAACTAAAGTGATTTTAAACAGTTTGCAATTGCATAAGGGAAACGAAAAAATATGAGAAAGGATTCGAAAGTTTTTTATTTGAACTTATGATAAATAGATAACTTAAGCAAGCTAATATTTAGTCATAAGCCAACACCAGTATTAAGACTAGCTTGAAAGCCATGGTCTTTATCCTCGAATCACATCAAACTGTTCACCATTTCTTAATAAATATTTATTAAGTCTATAAGGAGGGAAAAAACGTGTTAAATGACTGAGAGGAATCACAGGAAAAATTAAGGATATAGCCAGTTCAATGCAAAATTTTTGAAGAACTCTTTAAAGATCATCAAATGTACTTTATAGGATAAGATTTAAAAGCTTTCACAGGGAAAAATAATTTTAGCACATTACTATCAAACTTCATTATCCCCAAGCTAAGAGAGAGGGCAAAAAGTTAAGCAAACGGCTCAGATGATTCATTTATGGTCTTTCTGAGTGATGGAAAAATTCCCACTGAGCCAGTTAAATTCTCACCAAATTGTTGTTTGGGGAAGCAATAAGAACATTTCGATTCCAAAGCACTATTCTCGTATTACAGTGGCCTTAAACTGAAAATTTGATTGTAGGGGATATATATGTGACGCATTGTTTAGGAGGCTAGAAATAAATGCAGTGATCTTTTTAGTAGGTTCTATTGTTTGGTAAATTGGGATCCCACCCAAAATTTATATGCAAGGAGCATGATGGAAAAGGTTCACTTTTGCTTTCGATAGATGGATCAGATTTAGATGAGTGTCGCCTTCAAATCTCTCTGTCTTTTTTTTCTGTGACTGAAAAAGAGGACTTAGCAGAGTAATCAGAGGCAGGTACAAATCATTCGTCAAGGGACTGATGAAAGTTATTGCAAGTTATCAGCAAGAAATCCAGGCAAAGGAGTAATATTGTATTGATCTTCCACCTGGAACTGTGTTCCAATGTGCCCCAAGCATGAAAGGCATTAGGGGCCTTATCTTTACACTTAATTTTGAAATATCAGGATTTATTATTTATTTTTGAGTAAAAATAAGTCTATTAGCACATTTTTTATTTTTAATGGTCAAAGTAATCCAGGTATATAGTTTAAAAAGGAAAATAATGATAAAAGTCTTCATAGAATCATTATTGCCTGAAATTTTAATCCTAGAGACTCTTATCGGATTTGGAGTGTTTGATTCATATTCTAGCTGAGTAGTATTTCATTTAGGAATGTGTTTGGAATAGGAAGAAGTAGCCTGGAGATTCTGAAGGTAATGTATAAAGGATATATTCATGCCATAATGCATTGTATTGTTTTATGAAACTCTAATATTGAAGAGAAATGCCAGGCCCAAGGTTTGTTCTAATACATAATCAGAGTGTCCAAGTGCAGAATACACCTGCCAGAGGGTCCTAGAGCGTGAGAGTCCCGTGTCCAGAGTCTGGTGTGAGCCTCACTTTCTCGGGCATTATTGTCATACACCTTCTCCCTAAGTGGACCTTGAAAACCTAGAGTCTACAGCTGTGACCACATTCATGATTTTCTGAATTATTTAGAGAAATAAAATAAATGCATAATTTATGAAAGTGTTTATTTCTGATCTCATCCTTAGTCAATTCTTATTACCCTTCATCAAACCGGTGGTCACAGGAACCAGCAGCCCTTCGTCTCCCCTTTGTCTTCTTTCCTTTCTCCTGTTCCTGTTAATATGACCTTTTTTGTTGTTGCTAAACCCGTATTTAGTGTTTTCATTAATATGACTATGCATGTACGGTTCATTGTTGGTCCAAGTTTGTGCACTATGATTATATTTCCTTTACATGTAATTTTTATATTTCTCAGAGAGAATAACTACTCCTTTATTTTCTATCTGCTTATTTTTCTTCAAATCTCTTGCATAGTCCTGACATCAAACTTCAGACAATCTATCAGCTCTATTTTTCACCTTCTGTCTTCATGTTCCTATCTGGTCTAATTGCCCACCAAGTCTTCTGCTATAAAAGTATGGTCCTTGGAATGCCTACTTCTCTTTCCTGTGTTGGATTCCCTGTTTCCTGGATCCCATATTTTACTCTATATTTGTTTTCTTCCTCATCTTGGTGGAGCATATCCTCCAGTGACTTAAGAAGGAATACAGAGAAGCTTAATATTTTTGAGAATTTGATATCAATAAAATGTCCTAACATTGACTTTATACTTGATTGATACTTAGGGTGGGTATAAAATTTGGATTAAAATCATTTCACTCAGAATATTGAAGGCATTATTCTATTGTCTTCTAGTGTCCACTACTACTTTGAAAGTCTCACGGCATTGAAATTCCTAATTCTTTGCATGCAATTGTTTTTTTTTCCTGAAATTTGTGAGATCTTCTCTGTATCCCTGGTGTTCTTACATGCCTTTGGGTAGATCTTTATGCTGAGTACTCAATGAAGCTTTTAGAATATATAACCATTTCTTTCAGTTCTGGGAAAATATCTTTTTGCTGTTTTTGTATAATACTCCATCCATTTTCTTAGTTTTCTCTTTGGAGACCTCCTATTAGATATATTTTCAATCCCCCAGCATATACCATAAATATCATATTATTCCTCTTTGGTTTTTTTATTCAAGATGTTGATATTTTCAATTAGAAAAACTAGAAAGATAAACAGAAATATATTTAAAATTGTTACATACTGTTGGGATGGGAATAGGGAGTATGGGAAGATAAACCATGTATCACGGTATGTGTCACGTACGTATTTTTCTAACGGCTTGGCATTTGAATAATATAAAAATTATAGTTAAAATTAATAATATATACTTCAAACATAAAATATAATAAAGAGCAGTTCTTGCTACATAACAAACGCTATATAAATGTTACCTATTATTTTATCAGTCAGAGATCTGTCAGAAAACAAACTCCACTGGATATTTCAAGCAGGAACATATTTAATTCAGAGAAATGGGTTCTTAAAAATATGGAAAGACTATGAAACATAGATTAGATAAAGCCACCCCTGCCTTTCAGGAAATAAGGAAGATATAGGAATCTCAGAAAAGCATGATTGATGTCTGCAACACCAAAGCAATTTTCACAAGAGAATGCCTGAAAGCTGCTGGCGACACTGCACACCTGCTGCCTGTTAAAATCACATCTTTGCTTTCCAATCCTGAAGTAGCCAGAGCAGCTTTCGTTGTTCTTCTGCTTTCTGAATCTGGATCATGAAAGTGCCTCACATTGGCGTTGAACCTGCTGGCTGGCAAAGATTTTGAGAAATGACGCTCCCCAGCTTCCAGCTTCTGTGTTACAGGAGAAAGTATGAAGGGAAAAGTGTTGCCAAAAGGCAATTTGACACTAGTTTGATTATGACTATTTTTAATATTAACATTTTCTCTCTAAAATGTCATTCTGCTCCCTGCATTGTCTCTATTGTCTCTCTGTTCTTTTTTCTCTGTTTATAGCTCTTTTTGTGTTGCTGTTGTTATTTATTTCCTCAAGTACCTGGGAACTCTTTCTTAGTGAAACACCAAAAGCCTCCAGAAGCTCTGTGTATATGGGTGGGGCTTGTCTCCAGGTGGCTGGAAATTATCTCCAGGCGGTCTGTCAGTGTGTGTATTTGGGCAGCCAGATAGAATTTATGCTGGAAACTACCAAATGCCAGTATCTTTCTCTAAGGTAGTTCAGTTCCTCAGTAGGTGGGGCCTCCAGACTTCTCAAGGGAGTTATAGCCTGAATGACAGTAGGCTGTCATTGAGGGTGGAGGATTGGCACCTCACCATTGAGCGTATAGATATTTATGTAATTTCACTTTCAGTACCATGCCTCATACCTGCCCTCCCCTCTGTGTGGTACTCCTGAACTTAGAGGCTTTCTGCAGAGCCAGCTTCATGGGTATACCACTTAGAAGGTCCTTGTACTTTGTTTAATTCTCTAATGTAGCCATCTTGAAATTCTTAATGTTTGAACAAGGGTTCCACATTTTCATTTTGCACTAGGCATGGCAAATCATTTAGCTGCCCTTGGCTCTGTTCCAGTTTCTACAAAGTCTGTATCTTGACTTCCGCAAGCACTAACGATGGGTAGCCCATCTTGTTCTGGAAATGGGAGAGAAGAAGGGAGAATGGAGAGCAGTTTTAAGGCCATACACAGCATTCTATACACAGGCTTTCACAAGCAAACAAACAAAAACAAAAAACCAGACCTCCAAGTGCCTGATAACTCCAAGTCCTAGTCTTTCTGAGGCTTCATGCTTAGCCACCTTCAGAGACACTGAGTTGGACGTTCTTCTGCTCACTGAGTCACTCAATAACTCCTTTGGCTCCCCCATCCTGTGGTTAGGGGTACTGATGTCTCCTAGTTTTATTGAGGATCAACTTTGTATTTCTGTTTCTTTTTTGCCTTCTTTATTATTCTCGGGGTCATTTTAGAAAGCAGAAGGGAACAGAAATTTCTTCCTGCTGTAAGCTTAAAACCAGGACCCCACATAATAATTTTACAATGGTATGTAGAAACAGAAAATATAAGAGCCTTCCGCAAGCTGATCATAAGACTGAAACATATGGTTTTGAAATACGTAGCCAAAAGATGAGGTCAATTATCATTTTTAGTGTTTCAGCAGAATATGTTACTTGCTCAATGTGTTGTAAATATTATTTTCTAGCCATGCTTATTTAATGAAGTTAAATAACTAACACATTGTTACAGAAGAGAAGCATTTCTCCCCCTAATCTAAGTGGTTTCTGCTAGCCTTTGCGGTTAATTTTCCTATTTCCAAACTAAAGGCTTTAGCCATTTGTGGCATGTATTTTTAATTTTGTTCCTTATAGCCCATTTCGTTAAAAGCATAATTTAAATTATTTGTGATATACAAAACAGTCAAGTAATTTAACAAAATATAAAATTACGTTCATAAAAAGAATGTGGTAGATTTAAGAACTATGAAAACTTACAAGATTTCCAGTGATTGATCATCGCATTAAGATCTGCATTTCCTGAAAACCAGGATAAAAAGGGAAACAGTAAGTTACACAGTTCTAATTAGTCTCTACGACCATAGGTGATTTGCTCTTCATGCAGCCAATTCCACTCTAGTATTTTTCAGTAGATACCACTCAAACCCGCTAGTGGGAAGGACTATTTATTTTCCTCTGTATGAAACCATGGAAGGGTATGTTCCTCACTGGCTGTCTGCTATTCCACATCCCTTGAGCCAGAGACAAGCACTGTGATGTGGGCCATTTGTTTTTAGCATGACTCAGTCTAAACTTTGAGGTCTCTTTCCTTCTATTTATATATGTATTTAATTAGTTTGAACTTCTCATGCACCAGTCATCTTTGGATTAGTAACACATCATTAATCCATGCATTTCCATCTATTTAGTTATCTAGTTCGTCATTTGTAATACTAACAAGCACTCTTGAAACCAGTATCCAAATAGAGTCTAGAACTTAAGAATAATTTTCATCTCATCTTAGAGTTCATAGAGTGGCTTCCTCTAACTCTTCCTGGCACCTCCCCTGTAACCTGAACCCTGTATCCAACATTCCTTTTCTTTCCTTTATTTAACATAGTAAAAATATATGCATTCCTAAAAAGTGGGGCAAAGCGCTAGGTGTCTGAGTGTGTCTCTGTGTGTGTTAGTTTTTTTAATTTTATAAAAAATTATTATGCTATACTCAATTGAGTGTATTTGCTATTTCTCCTTAATATTATATTGCTAAGATTCATTCTGTTATTGCATGTTTCATTCATTTTTTACCACTATGTAATATTATATTATGCAAACATACTTCTTTTACCCTTTCAGTGGGTCAGCCAATATTTATTGAGTGTATACTCTCTTAAGCACTGCATATTCAATGATAAGCAAAACAACTCTTTTGTATCATTTTGAATCTCAGCTATGAGACCAAATGCTATCATGCCTCTCAATTTCTCTTCGTTTATACTGATAGAAAATTGTTTGCTAAATTCCTCTACACTAAACGATTAGTATACTCATGAACAATAGTCCAAAGCAGTGCGATGTCGAAGGTGGAATTTCAGGCTCTGTCACCAGGGTGAAGAAGGTGCTTGGGAGAGAGGAGATGGTTCCCTTGCCCTTCAGATGTCATATCTTAGGTGACCATCTATGTTGTGTTCTTCTAACCAACACCACCCAGAGTAAAATCTTTCAGTTTATAAGAGAACACAGAACTATAGCTGAATTGAGATTATATCTATGAGCTATTGGAAAGCATGCAATCCCTAAATAAATCCTCAAAACCTGAAAAGAACTTTGAATCTAGCATCCAACGTATACGGTAGAGTATAACAATTCTGATAAAATGAGCACATTTCAGAATTCATACAAAATGAGAAATAAAGAATAATAGCGTGTGCCTTTGAAACTGGATACATCTTTCTTTTCCTCAAACTATCTGAGCGCCCTCTTCACCCTCTCTCATTCGAGATCCATCTAGTGAAGAATTGTGCTTCCCCTAGAATGCAGCTTCAGAATATTTCATCAAAATGGCCCTGTTTTTCTCCCCTTCACTAGAGCTGTCTTTACTTCTGCCTTTATCTTTCTACATTGTTTGCTTCCAGTAATTGTCTGGTTCGCCTACACAATTTGTCACCTAGTGTCTTCCCTCTCACCCTTGGCTCTACATACTGGCCTCCACATAGCAACACCTGCTCCACTGGGCTCCAACTGTTTGCAGCAATACACCACCCTGCCCTGGAGATTACAGACAACTTTGGCTATTACAACACATATATTTAAAACCTACCCAAAGCTTTCAGGGGTGGCAGCAATGTCAGGCTAACTACACAACACATCCCCTCACTCTTTACTATCATGCTGAGTTTCTTTCCTTTATTGTTATTACTTTCCTGGCGCTTTCCTAAATCCTGCTTCTAATCTTTTTGTGCAGGTCCCTTCAATTTTCTCCATTATCCTACCTTTCTGTTCTCTTACTTTTTCTAGTTCTACTTTCTTTTGCCCTAAAAACCTATTTCCTCAGGCTGTTTTCATTTTACTATATCAGAAGTAGCTTTTCCATTTTACATGATCTTGTTATATGAATGCTAAATTATTTTTAGAAGATTTCTTTTAAAAGTGGACATATTGACAACAAGTACATTCTTCTGAAGGAGCATATATAGACATGACAGTTTCAAAACTGTTTGTGAAGTTTCTCAAAGCCGTAGGTTGAATTTTTATCATCTGTGTTGGAGTTAATGTCGAAATGGTTCACATCAAGATGGATTCTTTTACAAAAGTATTGCATATGTTTTATTAAACGAAGGAATTTCATTTAAAGAAACAGCATATGCAGTAACAATATTTTCTAATGAGAAAAATAAAAGGTAATAATACATCTTTCTAACTTAATCTCCACTCTAGGTCGCTGTGAATAAGAAACTCACTAATTAAAGGTTTGGAGTTACTTTATACATTGGTGTGTATTGATTTAATTACTCATCTCCCTCAGCCCAATTACCCTGAAAGCTCTAGGCTGCTTGATATAAAAATATGGCAAAGTATATATTTAAATTCACATGTTCTTCCAAAATATTTTTGATATTTTGGATGACTGAAGGTGTTGCAAGCCTAAAAAAGAACAGTTATGTATCCATATTTTGATTGTGACAAAAGATTTTAATTTTTATGTGACCGTATGTCTTCATTATTTTCTTTGCATAGTCTTCTAATGCTCTTTAAACCTGAATCATTTTGTTATTCCTAGATAAATTCTAATATATTCTCAAGTCATTTTATTATTTTAAAATTTACTTTATCTCAATGAGGTCCACTTTATCTTTTTCTTTCTTTCTTTCTTTTTTTTTTTTTTTGGTGAGGAAGATTCGCCCTGAGCTAACAAGCATTGCCAATCTTCCTCATTTTTTTTTTTCGCTTGAGGAAGATTCGCCCTGAGCTAACGTCTGTGCCAATCTTCCTCCACTTTGTATATGGGATGCTTCCACAGCATGGATGATGAGAGAAGTAGGTCCACACTCGGGGATCTGTACCCACAAACCCTGGCCGCCAAAGCAGGGCAGGTGGAACTTTAAACACTCAGCCACAGGGCTGGCCCTTCAATTTTTAAATATGTGGATTATGATTTGGTGTCAAGTCTATGAATTCTTCACCTTGCCCATTAGAAATTCCAAGGAATTTCAAATACTTTTCTCTTAAAATTGTTTATAGGTTTACATTTTACATTTAAGTCCATAAATCATTTTCAGTTAATTTTGTATAATGTGCGAAGGTTAGGCTGAAGTTCATTTGTTTTCCATGATGGATGTTTAATTGTTCCAGTTTCATTCTATGAAAAGCTATCCTTCCCATATTGAATTAGTTTTGCACCATTGTCAAGAACCTTTTGGGCATGTTGTGTGGGCCTATTTCTGAGTCCTCAATTCTGTTGCATTGATCTATACGTCTGTCACGTAGCTAATACCACACTATCTTCATTACTGTGTCTGCACAATAAGCCTTAATGTTGGGTAAAGTAATTCCTCCTACTTTATTCCTTTTTATCAAAATTGTGTTAGTATCATTCTGTTTTAAATGAAAGACAAGACAAGGCTGTCAACTGTTTTAATATCTACTCCAAGGTGCCCTGGATGTCCTAGCCAATACAAAAAGATTAGAAAACGGACTTAAAGGTGTAAGAATTGTAGAAGAAAGAAACTTTTCCTTATTTCCAGATGATAAGCATACTCATGTTGGAAATCCAAGTGAATCAGGGGGAAAATATATAAGAATTGATAAGAAATTTCAGCAAGCCCACTGGATACAAAAATCAACTACAAAAATGCAGAGCATTCCTACCAAGTAATTAACAAATAGAAAAGATAGAAAATGACATTATTCTCCAAAAGAATCAACAAAAACTCTAAAAGACCTTGGAATAAACCTAACAAAAAACACACAAGCCCTTTCCAGAAACATTATAAAGATTATTGAAGGCCAGAAAAGAAGCTTGAAGAAATGCAGAAACATATGTGAGGATGATGACTTTCCCCCAAAGTAACCTATAAATGCAAGTGATAGTTTAATCAAATTCCAACAATTATGTATAGAATTTAGAAGTGAGTCTTCAAATCAAGTACAGAGGACAGTCAAAATAATCCTGAAGTTGGGGCAGGCCCGGTGGCACAGTGGTTAAGTGTGTACATTCCACTTCGAAGGTCCAGGGTTCGCCAGTTCAGATCCCGGTGTGGACGTGGCACCACTTGGCAAGCCATGCTGTGGCAGGTGTCCCACATATAAAGTAGAGGAAGATGGGCATGGATGTTAGCTCAGGGCCAGTCTTCCTGAGCAAAAAGAGGAGGACTGGCAGCAGATGTTAGCTCAGGGCTGATCTTCCTCAAAAAAAAAAAATCCTGCAGTTGAGGAGCAATGTGGGGACAACTGTCCAATCAGATATCAAGGCTTGCTTACTATAAACTATGTCAATTATGAGATTACGGTGCTGCCATAGACAGGAACAAACACATTTCTGGAACACAGAAATAGACTTGTGCATCAATAACAGCTCAATGTGAGAAGAAGTGGCAAAATTGATATGTGGCACAGGTGACATTACAAATAATGTGGAAAAGATAAACCAGTTTCAATATATTGTAGTGGGACTATTAGTTATCTATATGAAAATAAATAGACCTATATCCCAATCTCACACTATGGACAAAAATAAATTCTAGTGAATTAAAAACTTAAGGTAAAAAGCAAAACTTTACAACTTTTAGCCGAAAATCTCAGCATATTTTTATGAACTTTGGGTAGAAAAAGTTATTCTTTGTATCTTCTTAAATAAGATACAAAGATTATAAATTCTACATAGAATAAGATAGAAAAAAGATAAGTAGATTTAACTGCTTCAAAATGTAAACTTATATTCTATAAAATACACCACAAAGAAAATCTAACTTGAAAGACAAAGCTTTGGTCTGGGAGAAGATATCTGTTAGTATATAGTTAGTATATAACTGTCAAAGGATTGGTATTCAGAATGTATAAAGGACTCCTAAAATCAATACGGGAAAAAAAAACAATCCAAAGTATAAGAACAGGCCATTCACATGAGAGAGAATTCAAAAAGAAAAATGTTAAACTTCACAAAGAATCATAGATGTACAATTAAATACATATATATACACAGACAATTTTTCAGGTTACAGACTAGCAAAAATCTTTACGTCTGACAAAACAAAGTTTTGAAGTAGCTATGGAGAAATAGAAATCCTCTATAGTACTTCTGTGTTTGTAAATTGGGACAAATATACTATAAAGCATTTTGATAGTAACAAGGAAAGTAAATGTGCATTACTGTGTTTACCCTTCAATCAAGCAATTCTACTTTTAGGTATATAATGCAGATAATTCTTACACATCTGTACAAGGAAACCTATTACAAGAATTTTCATTGCCATATTATCTCATAATAACAAAAAATATTTTAAAATATCCATTAACAGAAGAATGGACAAATAAATTGTGGTATAGTAATACCAAATACAACAATTAAAATAAAGTTATATCAAATAATATGGACAAATCTCAAAAATACAATGCTAAATTTAGAAGACAAATTGCCTAGCAATGAACTCAGTAAACCTGGAAAACAAAGTCATATAACTGTCTATGGATACACTTGAATTTAATATTGATATAAAACATGAATAGAATGATAAATATCCAAGCCTAGAAAGCAGCTACTGCTTGGGAAGAAAGAATTGGGATCAGGGAGGTATGCAGAGTGACTTTAGCACTATCTGCAATATTTTAGTTCTGAAGCAAATAAATTAAAACACCAAGATTTGATAGAGCATCTAAAGGCAAAATGAAATGGGTAAGACAAACCATCAAAGCAAGAAGTTAGGTAAGGAGATGGAATCAAGATACAAGTTTTATCATGAAAGCCAGAAAATGTGAAGCAATTCCTGATGGAAAATGGGAAGTGAGGCCCGAAAAAATTCCCTGAGGCATGGAAAAGTACCACAGGCCATTTGTGTAGCTTACATGTGACGTCAGTTAAGTGGAAGTTCTCTTTGCCCTCACACCTACGGAGATAAGGTGCCAGAAGACCTTGCATAAGCCGTACAACTTTTGTCATTTTCCCAACGTTTGGGGAGTTTTGAGATCAGGACATATTATGGCATCTGGGAATGCCTGGTAAATACTAGAATGAGACATTTGTGATTGCCACCTGCATGCAATCTATTATTTATATGAAAATGTGAAAACCCCTCCCACGTAACAGCTAGGAAATTGGGAGGAGCAAACCATTATTTACTCCATCACAACAACCTTGATAAGTAGGGAGGCCAATTGACCACATGTCACTAAAATTGTCTAGTACTGTCTCATATTATTTGAATTCAGACAGAAAGACATTTAAGGAGATTGGTACCTAATTCACCAAGTTCCTTACCATACTCCTCTTTACAGCTATGAGGCATTGCATGAGGCAAAGTGTCTTCACGATCGGCTCTGCCTTCTCCGGTATCGGCTTGAAGGCCTTGAGTTATTCATGTAGTGTGGAAAGGCCTAGGAAATATTCAATTCCAACTATCTCTTGCTTCTCTCTTCTCCAAATAGTCTGGTCCTGCAGTGCACTGATGAAAGCCTCTCCCAGAGAGATTAACAAGGCTGGAAGATGAGTCAGGTCATTTATTTTTCCATTCCATCATAAAAGGGTTCGAGGTTACTGCTTTCAACAAGCAGCCAATTGATCAGGTGACCACTAAGCATTCCTGATTCTCTCTCAGCATATCCCAATTTATTCATGAAAGCAGAAAGCATCATAAAAAGCCTCGGATGAGGCTACATGAAATTTAATAGGCTTGATGATGCCTTCCTTAAAAGCCTTCCTATGTATCTAATCTGCATATGCATTCTACAGGATAAATCTGTAATAAACAGGAAATATTGGCATTTGTGAAGCAATAATACATTCTGCCTCCTCAGAGGGGCTGACTTCGAGGCCATGGTCATGTACAAAGATCGGAATGACCAAGAAAATGTTAAGTGGAGGTTGCCTGTGATCTCACAATGCCACCAGCTATATAGCTAAACATCTCTGATTCTCAGTAGGTCTAACTTAAATGGGTTTTTCAGAAAATATTTCAAAGAAGCATACATGAATTTTGGTATTTTCAGTACATGTTCTACTCTCCTCAATATGCAACTCAACCACAAAGTTGCGGCTTGCAAGGGTCAAATAACATTGAAGACTGAGCCTGCCTTCCAGATAGAAATTTCTTTTACATTTCTTCATTCTCATATATTCTCTATTTTACAATCAGGCTTTGAAATCCCAACTGTTTCCTTAAATGTCATTTCAACCTGGTCCTAAAAGAAAATCTGTATTGTTGGCAGTTTATTGCTTATTTGACAATCTCTTGTCCTTAGTTTTCATAGCAGACAATGGGAAGGGCCCCTAAAAGGATGGTCAATTTCTTCATGTAAAGGGGAAAATTTGCATTTAGAATGAGAAAATCTCTAACCATTCCCATAAGTATGAATGTCCAACCATCATATATTCCCATCAACTATCTTAGGGAGGAAAATATTATTTAATATGCTGTTTGTGTCTGTGACAGTTTGGGCCTATTCAATGGCTTTAGTCTTCCTGGAGTTTGTCTGAATTGATAAAGCTGCTTTTAGGTCTGGAGTTAATCTCTTAGACCTTAGGGACCCCCTGTGCAGAGCTGTGGCAGATGCAAGCTCTCCTCGGAGGCAGCGAAGCAAAGAGTCTACTATAGATTTAATAAGATAAGATAAACACCCCTAATTCTTACATAATATACAATGTTCTCTTTCTTGTCCAAACCAGAAACTCAGGAACAAACCTCCCCCTCATTTCTCTAAAATTACCCGGGAGCACAGGAAAAAGCTGATTGTCTTTGAGAGAAACTGTCTGGGGTGGGGGTAGAATTTCGTATTGATGACTCTAGGAATAGTGACCCTAGAGAGCGTGAATCGTTAGCTATTAAATAGTCTCTCTTTGGATTCTTGAGGAAGAAGATTGATGAGTATAAAATAAGCTGGGAAAATCTTGTTTATAGTCAGTAAGTAGGGAAATGGGGTCTTTCCTCAACCAAATTTTAGGAATTTAGATTCTCCAAATTTTAGGTTTCACTTTATATTGGTTAATTATTGTGAACTGATTATAGTTTTATGTCTAGACTGGATTATTGCAGCCAATTCTCTGTCTTATACATAGAAAAATTAAGTGGATCCCTGTTCCTACCCTAGGAGGAAGCCCTTTAGATGTCACTGGGAGATGGCAGAGTGCCTATCGTCCTTGTGTATGATCTGAGAGAAACGAGAATCTCTTATTCTCAGCAAGGGAGTACCCAGTTCTACACTCTGTCAAACTGTAGAGGCAAAAGTGGGAGTATTTGATATGAATTTAAATTGTTTGCTGTTAAGAACACAGAACATACATAATGATGTCCTCTTATGAGCATACATTGATAAATGTCTTAATTCATAACAGAAGAAAAGCATTTGGAGTATGTGCTAATGCTTCCTACATGCACGCACAGGCACACTCTGTGTACAAAGTCACCACTAGAACATGGCCCTATACATACATACATAATCACCAACACATTCAATCAAGTCTATGTTATCTTTTAAGCCAAAGATATAAGGACAAGGCATGATATAAACATGATGGTAAAAATTTGGAGACACCTGGGTCCTGGTTCAAGATGGTGATTTAGGAAGATCCTGAACTGCTCTCTTCCCGTGGACACATTCAATCTACAGCTACATAAGGAGCAATTTCCTCTGAAAAAGAAATCCCTAAAAACTAGCTGAGTGACTCCTACACATCTGGCAAAAGAGCGAAAACCCACATCAAAGCTGGCAGAAGAGGCTGAGGCACAATCTCGCCATAAACCCCACGATCAAGAGGGAATTCAAAACCCGTAGCTCCTCCTGGAGGAGCAAAGGAGTTGAACCCCACAGAGGGCACCCCAATTTTTAAGACCTGCACCTGAGAGATGAGCCCCCAAACATCTAGCTTTTAAAACCAATAGGGCTCACGTCCATGAGAACCTCAAGGCTACAGAGACTGAGAAAAAGCTTCCAAGGCCTGGAGCGCTGGGACTCACTCACCCCAGTGACCTGAGCAGAGGCAGCCCACTGAGAGGCACTCAGACTTATGTGGAAGAGGCCTAATTGCTTGTCTTAAAGCATCAGCCTGAGGGGCAGGCATCTAATTTGACACACAGAGAAGGGGATGCTGGAATACTCTCTGGGATAGAGGCTGGCAAGCACCATCCTTGTGCTCTCCCTCTGCCTCCCTCCAGCTCCATGGTATCTCCCAGAAAGGAGTTTACACCTTCATCTGGTGCCCTGATTTTTTGTTTGTTTGTTTGCTGGTGAGATTAGCCCTGAGCTAACATCTGTTGCCAATCTTCCTCTTTTTACTTGAGGAAGATTGTCCCTGAGCTAACATCTGCTAGTCTTCTTCTATTTTGTATGTGAGTCACCACCACAGCATGGCTGATGAGTGGTGTGGGTCTGCACCTGAGATCCTAACCCATGAACCTCGGCCACAGAAGCAGAGCATGCCAGACTTAACCACTAAACCACTGAGCTGACCCCTGGTGCCCTGATTTTTGTGGCTGCTGCTAAGGGACCCCTCTAAATGGCATGGTCCTTGCTTTTGCTCGCTGGTCCCACAGGACTGTAATAAACAGAGAAAAATTTCTCAACCGGCTACAATTCTCAGGGTACAGCAAGAGGCAACAGACCCAGGAGCCCCGTCTTTCTGTGAAAGAGGACTGTTAGCTTATCTTCATAGCTGCAGCCTGATGGGCACAGCTAATTAAGCACACATCCAAAGGCTAACTGTTATCCTTTCCAGAGACCTCAGAGCTGTAGAACCAGTATCTCTTGGAGGAAAGCTTTTACAGGTATTTGTGCCCTGGCTTTTGTGGCCGCTGCCCAGGGCATACCCCTTGATCACCTGGCTCTGGTGGCCAACAGGGTTTGCATTCCTGGCTCCCACAGGACTGTAATAATTGGAGAGACAGTTCTTTGCTGGCTACCACTCCCAGGGCACTGTGCAGACTGAAACACATCTCCAGTCTTTATGTGAAAGAGGCCTATTTACTTGTCCTGGAGCTTCAGTCTAAGAGGCAGGCTTCTGGCTTGGCACACACCTAGAGGCCTACTGGGATATACTCAAGTGACTGAGGCCAATGGACGCCATCTCTGTGCTCTTCCTCTGCCTTGGTCCAGGTTGCAAGCATCTCCTAGAAAGGAGCATGTAGACTTCATAATTTTCAACTCTTTCATGTTATAAGTGTACTTTATCCTGCTCTTCTTTCTGCTCGCTCCTTAGACTTACAAAGAACATGAGTTACTCCATATTTTAATAATCTTCTTTCAAGTAATTTTATGCAAAAGAGTGATGTTAATTTAGTAAGCTAAAATGATACTACCAAATGGAAAAATTAAGAGCCTCTTTAGTGACTAATATCAAGCGATAAGTGAAAACAATGATACTTAAGCTTTACTGGAATATCGGATTTTTTAAAGCCTAAAAGCTTTTAAAATATTAATTATTATAATAGAAAAATGTATTGCTTTTGAATGATAAACATTTCAGATTGTGAAATATTTTTATGTCTTTTTTGCTCATTTGAAGTTTATAAGTTAACAATGCCTATTTTTTTGTTGCTTCCAACTTTTTAGTATTTGTTCCCTTCCATACTTTTAAAAAATTAGCTAAGCTCAGGTTTGTTAAATGGTCTTTCTGATGATAGTGAGGAAAATAGAAGTTTCCGTGATTAGATTATAATATTATCTTAGATGGCGGCTGTTCTGCTCGTCTTTATGAAGTGAATTAGGAGAAGATCTCTGCTAGAATGGCCTTAGGTGTCTGTCCTTGCAAAAAGGTGATGCTGAACTCATACAGCTCAATAGCAAAAGAACAAACAAGCTGATTAAAAAATAGGCAGAGGGTCTGAATACATATTTTTCCAAAGAAGACATACAGATGACTAACAGGCACATGAAAAGATGCTCAACATCACTAATCATCAGAGAAAAACACATTAAAACCATTAGTCTATATCACCTCTCACTTGCTAGAATGGCTATTATCAAAAAAGACAAGAAACAGCAAGTCTTGGCAGGAATGTGGAGAAAAAGGAACCCTTGTGTGCTGTTGGTGGGAATGTAAATAAGGGCAGCCACTATGGAAACATTATAGAGCTTCCTCAAAAAATTAAAAACAGAACTGCTTTATGATCGAGTGATTCTAACTCTGTACTTATCCAAAGAAATTGAAAAGATATCTGCAACCGCATGTTCAGTGCAGCACTATTTATAGTAGCCAAGATACGGAAACAACCTAAGTGTCCTTCAGTGGATGCATGGATAAAGAAAATGTGATGTGTATATGGAATATTATTTGACTTTAAAAAAGAAGGAAATCTTGCCATTAGCAACTACATGGATGGACCTTGAGGGCGTTATGCTAAGTGAAATAAGTCAGACAGAGCAAGACGAATACTGTATGATCTCACTTGTATGTGGAATCTAAAAAAAA